AAACGCAGGTATAAATGCAGTATATATAAATGCCGCGAAAAACCTATATCAAGATAACCAAGCTTATATTAAGGTTGGAAACCAAATTTCCAAGGGTTTCACCCAAACAAAGGGTGTCAAACAGGGCTCTTGCCTCTCCCCAACCCTATTTAAAATATATCTTGGTAATGCTTTAAAATATTGGATGAGAAAATGCAGCCCAATGGGCATATGGGTAAATGACACTCCTATATACACAATCCTCTTCGCAGACGACCAGGTAGTTCCTGCCGAGGACCTACAAGATATGACGTACATGATAAACAAACTAATAGACGAATTCAAAAAATGGGGATTAGAGGTTATTACCGAAAAGACACAATACATGAATATAGGAGGCATCGGTCAAGACATGGAAACAGAAAGCGGATTAATTAAAAACGTTGATCAGTACGAATATCTCGGAGTTACACTAAGCGAAGGCGGGAGAGACGACAAAGATATAACAAGAAAAATAGGAAAAGGAAAAAACATGATAAAAACACTACATCCGATCCTGTGGAATAAAACTTTAACTAAGAAAACAAAGAAAAATATATATCAGGCTATGATTCAGCCGGTGCTGACGTATGGGTCAGAAGTGTGAGTCTTTAATAAGAATATGTCACAAAAACTCCTCTCAACGGAAATGATGTACTGGAGAAGATGTTCCGGGTTAACTTTGTTTGACCACATAAGAAATGAAAACATAAGAGAGAGAATGAAAGTAAAGAACACAATAATGGATACGATAGCCGAAAAACAATTAAAATGGTATGGACACCTGAGACGGATGAACGAAGAAAGGATATTACGAAAGGTTTGGAACTGTAGACCTACACAGAGAAATAAAAGGGGAAGGCCAAGAAAGAAATGGATATCCAATATTCATATAGAAATGGAAAATAGAGGTCTTCAAGAAGGAGACTGGGCCGATAAGAAATTATGGCGATTGGGATGCGAGAAGCGACAAAATTAAAGTTGCAAACACTCGCTATATATATATATATATATATATATATATATATATATATATATATATATATATATATATATACAGTGTAGGAAAAATTTTATGGTCGGTATGGACCTTACGTGAGATGGAGTGAGAAACAGCTGTTTAAAAAGAGAGAGGTATATTAGGTACGCCCTTTATATCGCCGAATGGAAATATTAAAAAAGGGGAAATTCAACGTTGCCAAACTTATTGGATTTATTTCACCTGTTGTTTTTTTTGCATTTGAACAATGTTCTAAGATAATCCAATTTGGGCGAAATTGATTTAAATGGCAGCTTACTCTTTTTTTTTTTATTGGGAATATGCCACAAGTTTACTTTACAATAAGTGTAATATAAGATTTTGATTTCCACTTTGGAAATCGTTTTATATACCTAAATAAAATTTATTAATGTTTCGTATTTTAAGTACGATTTCCGAATTAAAAATCTAAACATCAAAATAAGCTTATTTTAAAGTCACATTGTGCCTTATTCCCAATATGAAATAATAAACTGCATACAATAACACCACATTAAAAAATATTCATACACAATCATTTATTTGGCAACGTCGTCCGTCTGGTCAGAATACCGAGTAACGGGTAGTAGAGGTGGGTCGTGGTAATTTTATCGTTAAGAGCGTAAGAGCGATTAATATTTTTTAAATGCATTCATTTTTTTCGAATCCTGATAAAACTAATAAATATTCTTGAAAAATTTAAACGCAGAATGAACCAATACATTATTACCGAGGGCCAAAAGTCCCTGAAAACTTCTATAATGTTTATTTTAATAAGTTATAAGGGCGAAAAAAAAAATTAGTGTGATTTTTAATTTCAAATATCTCATTCAAAAAACTTTTTGTTTATTCTAAGGGACTTTCGGCCCTCGGTAATAATGTAATCTTTTATTCTGCATTTAAATTTTTCAAAAATATTTGTTAGTTTTCTCAGGATTCCAAAAAAAATGAATGAATTTAAAAATTTAAATTTTTGTAAACAACTAACTATGATTGTTTAAAAGTAGTTTCAAGTAAGAGAGTACCTACATAAACAAACATAATGGCCAAAACATATGGCGTACCATAACAATCACTGAACTACCCTTCAAGTATTTTTGACCACTCATTGTACTTGTTATTTCTTTAAACGGCCGTAAAATTTGGGAAAGCTGAGAACAAATAATCCAGTGTTTTTTATTTAGATTTGGTCTAAGTCTAAGTCTGTATTATTTAATACCGATGTGGAACGGAAATACACGCCAGTACACCGAAAATATCAAAATACAGAGAGGAGTCCGCCAGGGTTGCGTGCTGTCCCCACTACTTTTCAATGTCTACAGTGATCGGTATTTTAAGAAGCGCTCTCTGACTCAATAGAAGGTATATCTATCTATGAAGAAGTTTTGAATAACTTACGTTTTGCAGACGATACAGTAATAATTACGGATAACAACAATGATTTACAGAACCTAATGCAACGCCTTAATGAACGCTGTCATGAGTACGGACTGAAGATAAATTTAAAGAAAACTAAATGCATGATCATGACTAAATCTGCACAAATATCCAATTGACTATTGAAGATACTGCAATTAAGAGTGTTAATAACTATAAATACTTAGGAACATGGATAACATCAGATGTAGACCAAATCAAAGAAATTAAGACACGTATTGAAATAGCACGTACATCATTTATTAAACTTAAAAAGTTTCTTTGTTGTCGGGATATAAGGTTAGAACTACGCCTGAGAATGCTTCGATGTTACGTGTTCTCTACTCTTCTTTATGGTCTGAAAGCTTGGACACTAAAACAAGTTCATCTGAATAAGTTGGCCGCCTTTGAATTTTGGTGTTACAGAAGAATCCTACGAATATCATGGATTCAAAAAATGTCAAACATTGAAGTAACTAGAAGGATAGGAAATGAGGCAGAAATAATATTAACTATTAAAAGACGAAAACTTGAGTACTTGGGACATGTGATGAGAGGGCAAAAATACGCATTATTACAACTTATTATGCAGGGCAAAATCCGAGAAAAGCGAAATGGGGGAAGACGAAGAATATCCTGGCTTAAGAACTTAAGGGAATGGTTTGAATGAAGTAGTGCAGACCTTTTTAGAGCGGCAGTCAACAGAGTCGGCATAGCCATGATGATTTCCAACCTTCGATAGAAGATGGAACTTAAAGAAGAAGAAGTGAAACGGATTGCCTCTTCTAACTCAGTCATTCTTTTTAACCTGTAATAGGTGAAGTTCTACCTAGTTTTCACGTCTTGGATTGGCCGTTTGGGAACTTTGTTATGTTGTAATTAAGCCTTTCTGAAGATAAGGTACTTTTTTTAATGTTTTTTGCAGAATTGTCGAAAAAAGGACTTTTTTTTTATCTATTATCAAATCAGTTTTGACATAACATTCCTGAAGTAATGAATCTAACAGTTTTTCTTGTTGGCGGTTTATATCCAGGAATCCACCCTGCAAACTTTTTAAAATCTGGTTCTTCACCTATAGAAAACGGATGAAACGAGTCTTTGCATAAGTTTAGTAAATCAATAAGTTTAGTCAAGAAAAAGAAACTGATAAAGATGACTTAAGTCCATTGTGTATTTTTGATGAATTAATTGGACATGACTCATCTAAACATACAACTGTATCGAGAGATATACAAGAAGTAGACATGTATTTGTCTAATAATATATTACCCACAATAAATTTCGAACGGAGATTGGAACTGTCCATTACCGTGGTGGAAAAACCATCGCCATGTATATCCTAACTTAGCCACTATATTCATAAAATATTGTAGAATTGTAACAAAATCTTTTCCTTATGAACACATGTTTAAAATCTGGTTTAATTTTAAATAAAAGAAGTACACAGTTAACAAGAAAAGTAGAAAAACTTGTTTTTAAATGTCAATTTAGACGGTTCGCGATTTAATAATAACGTGTAATGTAAATGTAAGTACTATTTGTATTGTTTAATTTATTTTTCAAGTTATAATAAATATATCCTTCGTTAGGTTCTTTCACTTCAATACTTATACACATAAACGATAATAGCCAATATGTTTGTGTACTCGCTAATTTGAATCAACTAGTTACAGTTTACGAAAAACGGTTCCGATAAAAATTTAAAAAACGGGAGGACCCACCTCTAGTTTTTTAGGTATATTAGGATCGGAACCAGAGAATATGTAAAATATCTCTGATCGGAACTATTCGTCTCACTAATGGCCAATAGGTGTTAAAAATATTTGAGGAGGGGAGACCAAGGGGAAATATGATTGTTATCTTTGTCTATTCGCTGAAAATATGATTTTATATCTGCGTTAGATATCCTGTTAAATTTTACCATACCGACCATAAAATTTTTCCTACACTGTATATATATATATATATATATATATATATATATATATATATATATATACATATATATATATATATATATATATATATATATATATATATATGTATATATATATATATATATATATATATATATATATATATATATATATATATATATATATATGTATATATATATATATATATATATATATATATATATATATATATATATATATATATATATATCAACATACGCGTCAATGACCTGAACTTAAAAAATAAATAATTATGAAAAAACGGATCCTAATGAAATGCCAAAATAAGGAAAAATGCTAAGAATTGCATACAAACAACTAGGAATAGTTGTTTTCAATAATAAAATAAAAAAGTCCAAGAAAACTCGAAAAGTTATAGAACAGATTGCAGAAAAACTTTTTTGTGACGAAAAATATATGAAAAATGATGATGACAAAAATAACACTTCAGGATTTAAAGAAGCAATTCCAGCTAGGAAAAAAACTATATCGTGGTTTCTAAAATCTAACAAACATGTTAAATGCCGATTTATGTTATTTATTAATAATTTAGTACATTTAACAGAATATGTTAAAAATAATTTATTACTTACCCTGATAAAAGGCCGCTTAGGTAAATCATCCAAGCTGTCAGAGGTCCCATTAATTTTAATCTCTTCTAAACTTCTTTCTATATCACACATTATGTCACATCGTCACACACCACAGCAATAATAAAAACAAAAACACAGTCGGCAATATAAAATTCACACAGATATTCCCTTTTGTCGTTTTTGTCACTATCACTACATCAATTAAGAAAGAATTTATCTTAAAACAAGTCCGTAATAATCCGAAATTCGGTATCAGATGCTGAAAAAAGTTGAAAGAGTTTAAAATTTGAACGCGCGTCCGCCGCCAGTGAACCAAACAATACAGTTCCTACCTTTCAGGTGCGCATTTTGAGGTTATCTCTATGATATTTCCAATCGTGGATTCGAACGTATTGCGCAGGTAAACAAAACAATAGCGCTCGCCGCGTATGTTGCAATTGCACGACCACCTACGACTCCCATGATTAGTCATAGGCACCCTAGAATCGCTGTTCGCGATCGATTTTTTCGCGTGAATGCGATCGTCTGCTTGGTATGTAAACAAAAAGGATTAAAATTATTATATATTATAGTATTTTATCAAATTAATCTGTTTTAGTAATCAAAATGTATTTACAGTGATGAACAAAATATATAGAAACCTTCAAATAACTTTTTTGGGGATTACTGGCTTCGCGATCTATGTTCATTCGGCACATTACCAAATTATTTAAATGCTAAAATTTCTATTCTGATGAGATTCAAATCCAAATCTCTTAGCAGTTCTTTAAAACATTTTATATTTTTTGTCATATTGCAACATTTATTCCTTTTTATTGTTCCGTTTTCTACTGCTTTTTAAATTTTTTTAAAATTTTCTATCGCTTTTTTAAAGTAGGAAGAAAACCTTCCCACTTTCACACACAAAACCATGGGAAGACATCACCAAACAAATAGTGAACGAAACTGTCGCCAACCATCCATTACATGGTTGCCAACCAACCAATTGAAAAAGCAGTACTTGTGAAAATACATTATGACCACAAGAACAAGTCAAAATATGGCATAAATATTTTAGTGAGTCCCAACACTACCAGAAGATGCACAAAATATAACCTGCAATATCAACAAACTAAGAATTAACACTAATGAACAAACAACGCCAGAAATAGAAATGGGCAGAAAAAAACTGAAAGCGCACGAAGCAGCTGGCACTGACAATGTTCCACCAGAGTTGTTAAAAGCTTGCTCAAGCACAACAACAGAGCTTATCAAATAACTGTTGTAAAGAGCCTGGAGAAAGAAAAAGTTCCCCAAAGAATGAGAAACAGGACTTATAATAAAGATAATGTAAAACGGGGTTACTTTGCACCATTTTTTTAGTTCTATTTTCTTAGTGTGGATATAATGTCACTCGAAAAAAGATCTGAATTTTTATTATAAATATTTATTGCACGGATTGTAATATAGCTCTTATTATAGCTATTTTTTAGGCATATTGCATAATGAAGAGAACAACCTAGTTTTATTAGTGGTACAAAGGATACTCTAGAAAAGTGATACTTTAGACTACTTGATATTATAATAATATTTGGCTTCGAACTTGCTGGTGTATGGTAAACGTATAGAATTTTAAACTTTGCACCAATTAAATGCAAAAAAATGTTCGTCGGCTCAGTTTTTTTAGTTTAAGCTGGATTTAGATCGGGATACAGCACTAACTAGTGATAAAGAATCTGATGGAGAAGTCTGCAGAATACAACGAACCATTGGCACTGATATTTGTGCCGACTACGAGAAAGCATTCGATATCATTAGCCATCAAAAAATGTTAAAAGCATTGACATAACAAAATGCCACAGCTTGCGTAAGACTATCTGAATAAGAAGGATATCGTCTCTCTAAAGCTATTCACGACGTTTTTAGAATATACTTGTAAGAAGGCACATCTAAACGAGCATGGTATCAACATAAATGGAGGGAAGCTCAGTCATTTGAGATTTGCAGATGACATCGTTCATATAGCCGATCGTATGGATGATGCAATAATATTGTTTGAAAAATTATATCACGCTTCCTTGGAGGTCGGACTAAAGATTAATATAAACAAAGACGCAAATAATGATTAGTCTGGTGCCAAATCGAAATATTGCTGTTAGTGAAAGAGATATTATGCAGAATACATGAGGTTGATACAAAACACTTTGGATGAAGACCCCATTCTCCGAAACTCGGTTCTCTACTTGAGAGTTCGTTTTACAAGAATCCTCAGCTGGAAGACCGACGTTCAGGAATACTTAGATAGGATGAGACAGAGGTTTAATCTCCTGACGGTGCTAACCGGTAAAATTGGCCGAACGTCTTCCAAAACTTTGTTGCACACTTAGAAAACTTTTGTCAGACCGATAATCAAATACAAGACATGCGTTTACATCTCTCTCAATAGTCACCAACTGAATGCCATTGCAGCTACTGAAGATAGAATACAAAGATATTGCATAAGAAAAAATTGGTCGTTTCCATTAGCCCAAATACACATATTGGCCAACATCACGCCCATCAAGGACAGAATCCTAACCCTCAGCAGGAAGTATGTCCTAAGAACCATAGCTGGCTCAAACAACAGAGCAAAATGAACACTAAAGACGCCTTGCAATCATAGAGGGCAAATACTCACCAGGTTTCCCACTAAGAAAGTTACGTTTCCTCCAGCAAAACTTCTGCACAACACTGGACATGAACTCCCTGATGAGTATTTTGAAATACTAGAAACATTCCCCATCCAATATCGCAGATAAAGACTGCGCGCCAAAAACGCTGATAAAGAGCCATTCCTACTATATGGCTGGTAACCCCTCTAACCCGCTCTAACTCTTATCGATTCTTCTCGATCACACATACAAGTTATCTTCTTTTCCCCCTGCTCTTTAATAGTCCACTACTTCTTAACATCGGGCATCTTTTAATTGACGTTTATCACACCCTCACCTGACTATCTAACTCCGTTAAAAAAAAAGGAGTAACCCATTCCTTGAAGAGGAATGTGTTACTCCTTTGTCATGTCATGACAAAGTGTCATGTGATGATGACATTCATAAGAGAAGCATAAAAGTAAAGAACATTGCTACATTTTTAATGAACAACACAATACTTAGTATAACGACAAAAGTAAAAATACAAAGTTTGAAACTAATCCCACCACAATTTGTCGCATTCTAAAACAATGTTCAATCCTCGTCTGCACATTTTCTTCGGAGGGTTTATGCCTTCAATAACATTTTCTCATGAATAACATATTGAGTCGCGTCTTTCTGGCTATTTCCAAACCTGAGGCGAGTTTTTCATTAAATTCGCTTTCGTCTTCCATCTATCATCTGGTTAATTCCTGCCTGGTAGAAAGTGGTCATCCACAACAATGTCCTTCTTTGAATCATTTACGATTTCTGGCCTTACCATCTTGATGAGCTGTGGAAGTAGATGCTTCAGTTAGATCTTTTAAACTATTTCAGAATGGGCGATACTTTGCCCTGGAACAGTTATTTTCTTTTTCTTCCCACGAGTCTTATGAAAGTGGTTTCGATATCCAGGTAGTGATACGTCGTAAGAAACGATAGATACTATATTTCCTAAATCCCGACTTTAATATCTCATCGCTATTCTTTTGTATTTTTTTGAATAATGACCGTAAAAGCTTTGATTTGAAATACAATTTATCAATTGCATTTGATCTACTCCCTACCTGAGTTTCCTTATAGTCAGACAAAATTTTCCTCCAGGCGTTTTTTACTGGGGAAATTTACATTTTTCAATTTTCATAAATCAATTTTCCTTTTCCGACAAAACGATAATCTTTATATTTCCTCATCTTTAAATCGTGTTAATGTTCCATATAAATTGTACTTTTTGTTCCATTCAATTCAAATAATTACAAAAGTAACAAAAACGTTGCCTAGCCTACTTCAAAAATTTGATTATCTGAACCAACCCATATTTTATGACCCACATAAATAAAGATGTTATTTCAATTCTGGTTTTTATCTTTGAGAATTGTCTAATATTTTTATTGTTAGCGTTAAAATTGCTTAATTGTTTTGTTGAATCATATGTATTTCTATCGTGATTAAATTTGTTAAAAAGCAATATTGGGCAATACAGTTTGTATATACTTATTTATACTTTTTATTAAGTTTATGTAGTGATTAAAATGTGGTTATTTAAATTAGTATTTATTAATTAGCAACATTTATGGGAAATGTATCTCAACATTCATGTGGAAATGGGAGTGTCAGGAAATGTCATTTTTTGTCTTTTAGTTTTTTTGATATATATTGTCAATATTTTAGTTTTTAATAAAATGATGAGATGAAAAACCAGAAAGTAAAAGACCACAAGGCAGACCCCTTACAAGATGTAAAGACAGTTGGCAGTCAACATGGCAAATACTCCTAAATCAGACAGGAAACCTAACATATGAAGAAGATGAAGTCACAATGGAAGCGCATTAACGGAGAAATACTTGCATTCAATGATCAATCAACAAATACGGGTTGTTCTCTTGAGATCGTAGCACAACTCAGGCGAAAGTCTAGATTTTTTAACCATTTTATTGATCTGTACTGGAAGCAAATAGATTGACTGACCAACAGGTAGCTACTGTTTAATAAAAAATCCTTTCTGTATACATCATGTTGTACTGTATTCACTGCCACCCTTAGCGTTTGTATTTTTAGGAATAGCGCAAACGGTGGCGGTGGAGAGTAGCTATTGCTTCGGTATATGTCCTGTGTATAGGGTGTTAAACAAGTCTAGTATTATGTCTAAGGTTTCATCATTTATGTATTTTAAGCTTTCTAGTGGGATTTAGTCTAGACTTACTGCTTTACCATTTTTGCTGTTTTTAATGCCATTTTAATTTCCTCTTTTAATATCTTTAAATTCACACCATTTTTACTTCGCCTTCCATCTCTTCTTTTCTATTATCTTTGATGTATGTTGTTGATACCTTTAATTTTTCGTTAGTATTCAACACAAGTTTTTCTGCTGTTTCTTTTATTCTCACAGAATTCATCTATTCATCTCACAGAATTAGCGACCATGAACTAAAATAGAATTTCATGTTGATCTTAAGAAAAGGCTGTGT